CCCCCCAAAAAAAAAAAAAATCAGGGCCAAAAAACTCCCCAAACAACAAACTCCCCAAACAAAACAGTCCAACTGACAGTGAAGTTGATACATATTTAATTGACGTGGTGTTGATTTAGGTGCACTCTGTGTAGAAAACTTGAGTAACTGCAGCTTCTTGGGGATACCAAAAGCTACAAACCCCTCCCAAAACCCTTGAATGTGCAAAGTGCAGTTCAGCACATCGTTTGGCTTCGCTGCCAGGCTGGGATCAGGGCGGGAAGGAGCAAAAAGCAGGAGAGAAACAGCCCCTTTTCACCTCCACAGGTGTGAAACAGCCCAGGGGGTCGGGTTTGAGAGCCCCCAGGCTCAGCCCACGCCTCCCCTGCTGGAGGAATCAAAACCAAGCCTGAGGTTGGGGTGATTTACACACCCACCCAGCTCTTGGCTGCTCCAGCCCCTCCTCCCCAGGGGGCTGCTTGGAGCAACTTGGTCCATCTTTTCAGCCTCCAGCAGCTCCTGGCTTCATGGCAAACAGGGATTTTCCCGGTTTCAGCTTTTCCCCCTCTCAGCAGGTTTGCCTTGTCCTGCCACGCCAGGAGTGACAGCTCATGGTGCTCCAGCTCCATCCGTGCTCCTCTCCCAGAATCTCTGGGGGATCAGCTCCTTAAAACAACCTAAAAGCTCTTGCAACCTGTGGAACTGCAGGAAACGACATTCCCAAATCACAGCTCCCCTCTCCCCGCTCAGGGCCTCGCTCTGAAGTCGGTTTTTAAAAAGCTGAATGTTTCTGGAGATGAAAACCGAAAGAAAACCAAGGGGCTCCAGGAAGACAGTGCTCAGAAAAACCGGAAAATACTCCCGAAGATTTAAGTCAAAATTACAGTTCTTCAAACAGTTTTAGGAACTTTGAGACTTCGTGGTGAGCTTCTGTGCCAGGGGGGAGGTGCCTCAATCCCTGGGCAGAGAAATGGAGTTAATTTCTTTGGGAATTTTCAGGATGGTGTAAAAAAATACATTGAGATATTTGATACACAACAGACAAAATTACGTGGTTAAATGTCTAACTGGCAAGCAGTGTAGTTGCCATTGATCTGCTTTGTTGGTAAATAATGTCTGTGTTATTTAAGTATTTTACTGTAAGAATAGATACATATTATAAATGTGGTTTAAGATATTATAAATGTAACAGTAGAATGCTAAAACCACTGAGGTACTCACTGAGTTGTGGAAAAAGCTGCAGAGGTGCTTTGCCCATGGACACCTGAAACACAGAGGGATTCTGAGCCCTGCCCCGAGGCAGCCCCAGGATTTCCCGTGTGGCTCTGAGCAGTTCCACTCACGTGTGCAGGTTCTCTGCGATGATGCTGAGGCTGAAGAGGCCAATGTTTTGCATCTCCTGGTGGCTGCAGGTCAGGAACAGGCACAGGAACTCACCCACGTACTGGGCACCCAGGTTCTGCCACCTGGAAAGGGAAGAGCTGCTGAGACAACTCACCTGGGTTGTTCCTAGGACTGGCATCCCTGACTTCTGGCTGCTTTCCAAGAGCTGGGGATTATCTCTGTGCCCTGGGGCTGCTGCTCTGCTGTTTCCATCAACAATCAGAGCTCAGCAGCCAGTGTTTACTCACAGTTTCAGGACTGTTGCTTTCTGGCGACTGAGGTCTCTCAAAATCAGGGCGACAGTGCCTTGGAGAAGGGGCTCTTGGTAGGAGAGGTGCTCCAGCAGCAGCCTCAGGGCCCAGAAGTTATTCTAGGATGAGAGAAAGGAAGACCAGGGATTTAACAACAATTTCTACAATAAAAAAAACACCCAACCAAACAAAAGGACTAAAATAAAGAGCAAAGCTGAAACAAGTTAAATGTGTCCAAAACCTCCAAGATGGCATTGCAGGGATTTTAAATGCCATTTGATTTAATCTCTTAGAACAGAAATCAGTACCCAGGACTCACCCCAAAAGCCAGGACTATCTCTAGGAAGGAAGTCAGGTATGGAAGGTCACAAAAGAGCATCTGTTGCACTGCTTTTACTGCCAGGATGAGACAAGCCTCGTGGTGCAGCTACAGGAGAAACATCAACAGCAAGAGAAATAGATTTACAAGCCCACTTTCCCACCATTTCATATTGTATCCAGTCAAAGCAGTTACTCCCATTTCAGCCAGAGGCTGGAGGTCAGACAACACATCCACAGGAATCTCATGAAGAGCAAAAAAAGGGGGGAATAAACAGGTACTTTATTTGTGCAGCTTGTTCACCTGGTGCTCTCCAAGTGCTCAGAGAGATATGAAGCCACAGAAGGAGAAATAGAGAATTAAAGGGAAAAAATTCCAGCTCAAGAGTCACATATCTGGAGAAAAAACTGAATTTTCTCAAAAGAAGTAAAAAAAAAAAAAAAAAAAGATAAGGCAGCTCCTCAAATGTACTGACTGCACTGAATATAGAATATTTTCCCAGCCACCTTCAAACATGTTCCTCTATATCTGAAACCCTAATTTAAGGGAAATTTAGCAATTCTGGGCTATTCTGAGTTTTGAGACAAGCAGTGACAAGCTTTTACAGGACAGTCTCCTGTTTGAACCAAATAACACAAGATCACCCTGGGAGACACTAAAACAGAATCAATTCTAACTTACAGCCCTCCCACTTTCTAAATGCGTAAATTCGGACAGTTAGGAAGTAAAACTTGTCCTAGACTGAAGATGTGTCAGACCAGAACAGACCCTCATAGTTTTCTTACCTTCAGATCTCTGCTCCAGCCTTCAAACTCTGCTAACAACAGTTCTAAGCTGTTTCTCCCCCCCAAAAAAAATCTTCCAGTCCCTCCTAAAAGCCTGATATAACCAGCCCACTGTTACAGCTCAGGCACAGCAACCCAGATGGTGAATTCCCCCCTTGCCGTGAGCACACCCACCTGAGGGGAGAAAATAGAAGGTGGCAAAGAAACATTAACTTTGGCCTTCAGTTCCTCCAGGAGGCTCCCGCTGGCAGCCAGGACTCCCTGCAGGGGAGGGAAGGAGGCACAACAGGTAAGGGGGGATGGACACACTCCCCACACCTCACACAGCACCAGCAGGGCTCTGGAATGATCTTTGGTAGAATTCCAGGATGGTTAGTTAACCCTGGCATTTTAGGAGAACCAGTCAATGCAAACATCGAAAAAAATCTTGTATAAAACCAAGACAACAGATCTCCCACTTCCCAGCACTGTTTGAGGTACCTCCTGGAAGTCAAGTGGTGGCTCTTTCAGGGATAAGGGATGTAGGTGCCCACTTTTTGCCAGCAGATTGCTACTCCCCAAAACCATGATGAGGGAACTCCAGCACTTGGGCTGAAACACAACACAACATTTGCATCACAGAGTGAAACCTGTCCACAGAGGTGTGAATTATTCAGAGTAAAAAAAGGGTTCTGAGGGTAAACCCTTGCCTTGGAGAAGTAACAGGACAGAAGAGGTAATTTAGAGAAAGAGTTTTAATGACTCACATTCCTGTACAGTGACACGTTGCTGTAAAGCAGTTTGAGTGCCTGTTTAATTAGCACACCCTCCCTGAGGGGAGACCCTGCAAGAGGAGAGAAAAAAATAAATCCAAACCATGTCTTAGATTCCCTGGAAAATTACAGAGTGGCACAAACCAGATACTAACTTAGTTACAGACATGTTGGTACAGAAATCCAACACAGCCACATAAAGATCTACAGCTATTTTACAACATTTTGTAGGTAGAATGGGAAACCATCAACTGTAAAACACAGCTCTGGAAAGCTGCAAAGATCTGCACCAGGACAGATCATCCCACTCATCAGTGGCTGAACTGAAGACAGAATGGAATGCACAGGTTATGGAACATTGCCCATCTGACTTAATGGGAAAGTCAAAAGTTCTAAACACACACAAGCAGGAAGTGACACTTGCCAACTGTGAGCCAGGGCCCAGCCTGCAGCATGTCATTGCCAGGGGGAACACAGCCTGTCCTGAACATCTTGAGGTAGGCCTGGAACTCGCAGGGGGTTATCCTGCAGGCAGAGCAGCAGGCCAGGCTGTTCACTGGGAACAGCAGGGAATGGGCAGCATCCAGGAAATCCCCAGTTTTACACAGGTAGAAGGGGATCTTATCCCGAAGGTCTCTCAACCTGGTAAGAAGAGATGAGGATTTGATTGTCTCAGCAGGAATTCTGTACAAGGTGTATGTAGGGATCTGACTGTGCTTGGGGAGGAATAAAGAAGGGGAAGGGCAAAAGCCATTTACCCTTTGGTGTCGTTGCATTTCACAGCTCTCAGGTAACGAACAACTTCTTTGTAGCTGGGGAGAGAAACAAAGAGGGTGAGTAGGAAAAGGAGGGAAGTGCAAAGCTACAGACAGCTCAACCAAATATCTACTGTAATTAATGAAGCAAAACAACAGATCTTCCCACACAAGAGGGTGGAAATGCAACTGGAAGCAAGAGACAGTTGGAAATAAATTCCAAGAAGTTATTCACTGATTATTTCTGCTCTGGCAAAATCAACCAGGAGGTTGCCTTTCAGTTTAATTCTTTAACGGACTGTATTCTTGTGAACACTGCATTCATTTGAACACAGACCTCTGAAGACCCAGGACACATTTTTCTGGCTGTCCTCCACTAGTCAGCCTTTGATGAACAGAAATTGCTTTAAAATCAACATCATTTCCATAAACCCCAGGGTTTATGGAAACACAGAAATCACCCCCTTCTTCAGAAAGCTCCTGGCCTGGTTGATAAGGAACAGGGGGCATGAACAGCTTCCAAGGGGTCCTTGTTTTGAGCCTGCCCGTTCTGCCAAACTGCAGAGGTTTGGAAAACACTCCCCTGCAGCCCAAACGTTGAGAGCTGAGTTTCCAAAAACAAAACCCCACACCAAACTTACTTCTTCTTGTCTAGCAGTCTCTCCACTCGGGCCTCGATGACAGGGAGTGTTTCCCAGAGGAAAATCTTCCTGCCTTTCTGGGTCCTCTGCCCCGTGATGTTCTGGCCTTTCAGAACCGTGGTCAGCAACCCGTGGTCCCAGGGCACCACGTTCAGGCTGGGAAGGCAAAAACAAAGGCACTTTAACTCTTGTTCTCGTGTTAAATCCCATTTTAGTCCCTTTAAGTATCATGAAGATTTACTAATCAACCGTTTGGGGGTTTGCAGCTCAGTTTTGGGGAAGAGAAAATAAAAAGCTGCATGGTGAACAACTTATTTGTCCCATCAAATAAATAAACAAAATACACAAATAAAAAGCAGTTAGTACCAAAATATTCCTCTAAAATGCTTCCACTTTTACTGTCAAGGAAAGAACCAACCCCTAGAGCTGTTTTCCAACAAGGCAACTATATAAAAATATATCCTGTGGACAAAAAAAGCAAAGAACATACCTGTTTGAGAAGCCAAAGCAGTGACAGGGAAGGGAGATGGACTGAAAGAAATTAATAAACTTTTCATACAGAGTTTTTGGAAAGTCACACAACACCAGCATCCTCTGAAGTTGGGTTGTGATCCTGTGATTTGAAAAAAAGCAGTATCTTAAAATTAGATTAATTGCTATTGTGTCTTTTTTTTAATCACATGGGAAACTACAGAAGTTTGGGGCTGCTTTTCTTTAGTTAAATATCAGACAGTTTGGATCTATATTTAAATTTCTGCTTTAAGATTTGTAGTGAATAATGATATTAATCTTTTGCTGTTATTTTTAATACCAGTGAAGGCAAGGGTTTGTGGTTTTAAGCTTTAAAACAAAGATCTCCAGGGAGAATGCACAAAAACCACTGCAAATTATGCTGGACTTGATAATCCACCTGAGCTCCTGCACCCTCCCTGCTCCTGGAACCATTTCTGGATTAGCTGATAACTGGAGATAACAAACAAGAGTTTACTCTTTTAAGCTTTTGGGAGGGAAGTAAAAAAATCCTTTTCCTGTTCTTTAAAGGTAAGAAATGAAAAACTTCAGGAATAGGAATTCAAAATGCAAAGTGCTCAAGGATTTGGGTTATACCTGTCATTAGTTTCAGATAAAATGGGAATGTGGAATTGGGTTTGAGTGCTCCTGAAAGAAGTTAATTCTTAACTCATTAACCTGCTGTGGCAAGTGAATTTGGGGTGAAAGGGGAAAGCTAAAGCTAAAATGAGAACTGAATTAAGCCAAGGGAGCTGGATGTCCTCATTCCCCAGCCCCTGGGGGAGCTTTACTATGTTACATCCCTGGCTACTCCATCCCAGTGGAATATTCCAAGGCTGCTGTTTTGATCTCTAACAGACACTATTTGCTCTTTGGTTTAACCACCAGCACCTGACACCCTCTGCTCTGCCCTTCCAGGACACGCCACGTGCCTCTGAACAGAGGAATTGCCATTTGAAATCCGCATTTTAAAAGCAAACAGAGAATTTGTAGCCAGGGAGAAAACAAATCTCACCTTTGGAACAGACATGGGACAGCAATCTTCAGCGAAGCAGTATGGCCAAGGTTCTGCCAGCTTCTGAGAGGGGAGGGAAAAGAGCACTAGTTAATGTTTGCCTGGTTTTCTTGCTTTCTCCTCTTCTCTGTACTCCACACTCTTCCTTAAAAAGCACTGGAAGTTGTCATGCTAACAAAAACTACTGCAAACAGGTCAAACAAACGCTCACAGTGCAAAAGCTGCTGCAGAATTTACAGTGCTTTACAGCAGTGCCTAATCCCAGGGTATAAGTAAAGACCTTCCCAAGAAATGCATCCTCCCCTTTTTCCAGGTCAGATGTTTCTTCACTCAGTGAAGCTTCTCAGGAAAGATTCCATGTCCCTGTACCTTCTCCTGGGGAATTAACCCCACCTGCCTCCTTCTGTTGTCTGTCACCCTCCCTCCTCCCAGTTCCCATCTCAAATTCCTTCCCCCTGCTGGAGATCATCTCCTTTCCTCATGACTTTTAACTTCTTCCCTTCACATCCAAGCTTTAACCTCTTTTTCCCCAAATCCCTGCTGGAACCAATCCCACTTCTCCCTCGGCTGGGCTCATCTTCCTCTGGTGCTGCAGCCTGGGCTGAGATTCTGACACTTCCTTACCCGAAATAAATGGAATCCTGGAATTCCCTCACCAGCTCCCCTCCCTTGGAGAAGCCAAGGTCCCACATGGATGTGGCCCTGGGTACTTACAGGGAAGGGTCTTTGTGCAGTGCAATCTCTTTAGCTGCTCCCAGCAGCATCACAGCAGCAGCTTTAGGGCTTTCTTGTTCTGCCTGATTTAAAAATCTTGTTACCAGGGCAAAAACGTCAGAATACCTGAGAAAGTTAAGAGGTCTATGAGAGAAAGGGTCTGCAACAATGAACTTCACAAACAAAGGGTCGCTGCGACCATTCTACAGCTTGAGAACAAGCTGCCTTGCCTGGAAAGCATTTATGACAGGACGAAAATTACTTTCAGTATTTTTTTAAAGGCTTAGTACATCCATTAAAAGGTGAAACTCACTCTAAAAAACCAAATTAGTAAAAATCACAGAATCCTGGAATGGTTTGGGTGGGAAAGGACCTTAAAGCTCATCCAGAGCCACCTCCCTTGGACATTTCCAGGGATGGGGCAGCCGCAGCTTCTCTGGGCAACCTGTGCCAGGGCCTGCCCACCCTCACAGGGAAGGATTCCTTCCAAATATCCCATCTAACCCTACCCTAAAATACAGGCCTTATTTTCCTGCTTTCCCACAACAGGGGTGTTTAAAGATGTATTTAAGAGGGTGCTTGAACTCCATTCAAGTGTAATTTAACAGCTCCCTGTCCCTCTCGACTCCATTTCTGCTGCATCAGGTGCCACAATTGTGACTGTCACTTGGCAAAGGGAAATCAAACCTGCACAGCCCAAGCTGACTCTGCTGTCACTCACTTGTACACAATCTCCATGTTCCGTGACCTGCAGGCATTGCACTGCCCAGGAGGCAACTTGGGCAGGCAGAAGCATTCATGCTGTGTGGGAGGTATCCTTTCTCCAGCCAGGTACTTATTATATTCCACATAAAGTTCCTGCATGAATTTGATGAGCAGACTTCCTAAGAGACAAAACAGAACAAAACACATTGTACTGAGTGTTTTGCATCTAATTTTTTTTTTTTTTCAAACCAAAAGAGAGACAGCCATAAGTTCAACCATGTAAAGGTTATTTAGCCAGTTGCTTGCACCCAGTTCTGTTGGTGAAAGTTTGCTGCTTCTGCGAACTGAAAGAGGGGAAATTTAGGTTGGATATCAGGAAGAAGGATGGTGAGGCCCAGGCTAAAGGTGCCCACCTCCCAGCTTGAAGGTAATTAATTTCCATATTCCACTTGATTTTGAGGTGGCCAGAGCACAGGAGCCTGTGCTGTGAGGGGATGGGAAAGGTGTTGTTTTCGTGCTGAACAGGAGTAAAAGGTTCTGCTTGTGTTTCCAGGTGTGTTTTGAGACATTTCTGCTACTTCCCTGTGAGGGCAGTGAGGCCCTGGCACAGGTTGCCCAGAGAAGCTGTGGTTGCCCCATCCCTGGAAGTGTCCAAGGCCAGGTTGGATGGGGCTTGGAGCAACCTGGGCTGGTGGAAGGAGTCCCTGCCCATTCCAACCCAACCCACTCTGTGACTCTTCCAGAGGGAGGCAACCAGGAAGCTGGACCCGCTGACCTGTGCCTGCTCCAAGCATGACCCGGATAAAGAGCAGCAACAGCAACCTGCCACCCTAAAAACCCCCTGATCCCTGCCAGGGACAGCTGTGGCCCAGAGCAGCTGCTCCCCAGCGTCCCCTGGGACGCCGTGGCAGCAGAGCACCCACCCCCGTGGCGCAGGTCGGCGTCGATGTCCGTCAGCTCCAGGTTGAACATGACCAGCACCCCGGCCAGGGCAAAGTCCCGCCGCTCCTTCCAGAACCTGCTCTTGTTGTGGGCATTGCAGTGGCACAGGGAGGGCGTTGTCCAGTTCTGGCACTGTTGGGAGAAAACAGGAAAAACAGGGAAAGGCTTTTTTAGTGTCATTTTTTTTTTCCCCCCTTCCAGTTGAGCAACTCAAAAAAAACCCAGTTTGGTCCGAGTCAAAGGCTACAAATCATTTCACCCTTTACACACCTGAGCAAGGCCCCAGGGAAGTACTCAGTGTGACAATCACTCGGTGTCACGGCAAACAAGGACAGAAACACCTCCAATATTATTTACTGTCACTTCTAAACACTTTACAGAGGCCCTCAGGGCTGGCACCCTCCCCACTGGAAACTGGGAACAGAGCCTTGTCCTTGCATGTCCACCCCAACTTTTTTCACAGCTCAGTTCTCTGAATTCTAAGAACCCCCCTAACAAACCCCCCACACCCAATTCCCCCCACTCCAAGTTAGGACAGTCTAAAAGTCTGACGTCTGTCCAGTTCATTGAGAAACAGTCTGATTTAGTAATTTGATTTTATGAAATGCACTGTTTGCCCAAAGCAAACAGGAGGTAAATTTGCTTACACCTCTGAAAAGTTTACTCCAACAACTGCCTGGACTATCAGAAATAAATCCTGACAGAACCACACTTTTAGCAGCTATGAAGCAGACAGGAATCTCAACACTGAGGAGAGGAACTGTTAAAAGAGTCAAATTTTATGCATCACTTACTGGTTTTGTGCCCTTCAGCTCTTCCCTGGGAGGGTGGGCAGGCCCTGGCACAGGTTGCCCAGAGAAGCTGTGGCTGCCCCTGGATCCCTGGAAGTGTCCAAGGCCAGGTTGGACGGGGCTTGGAGCAACCTGGGCTGGTGGAAGGTGTCCCTGCCCATGGCAGGGGGTGGGACTGGATGGGCTTTAAGGTCCCTCCCAACCCAAACCATTCCAGGATTCTTTTTACTGATGATTAATTTATTTACTCCCCGTTGCCCTCTCACCTCAGAAGCCAGTTTGTCACAGATGTAGCAGTAGCACTGGGCACAAATGTCAGCGTTTTTCCCCAGGGGTGAGCAAGTGTCACATTCTGTTCTCCTGCAAGAGAAGATTGTTCAGAAAACAAGTTACATCCTCATCCAGCTCCACTCCAGCTTCCAGCTCTTACAAAGCTCACGAGGTTTGGTGACCAAAGGGACTAACTGTGGACAATCAACCCCCAGGTGACCCTCCCCAGCCCCGAGCATACTCGAAGGGGTGAGTGGTGCAGTCGTATCTTGCATGAGGCATCACATTGGCTTGTTTACAGAAAGTGACCATCAATTCGCACTCCTCATCCACAACCTCAGGTTTCTCCTCTCCCAGGGCAGGTTCCTCTGTAGGAAAGGGGACAGGAGGTGTAAATCAGCCTGAAGAGAACTGCAGACTTCATTACAAATTACTGACGTTTATCTTTTTAAACACTTCCAGGCCTGAACTTTCTTGTGATTTCATTTGGTCCAAAAAACTTCCACGAACTATCAGGACAGAGAATATGGAATCAAAAAGGAGCCTCCTGACATTGAAAAGGCCCACTTTTAGCTCAGTTGGTAATATTCTGAAACTACACAGCACCACCTTTTAGGTTAAGCAGTGCCATCAAAGAAATCCCCAAAAATTACTAAATCACGGCATTTCTTCCTGCCTTTTTTTTTTTTTTTTTAACTTTTGAAGCACTTTGATTTTCTAGCAGCAGCAAGACAGATTTCAGGCCCATCAGACAATAATTTAATTCAGTTTATTCTAAAGGTCATTTAGGGAACTTTATCAAAAGCAGTTCTTACCCTGGGGGTCTACAAAGAGGACAGAATTCCCAGGGGTGCTCTCGGCTTCATCATCACTGATCAGGATTATGCTCTGCTCTTCCTCCTCTCCTGATGGCCCCATGGTTCCTGAAATCCAGAGGGAAGGAAATACTTGGCGACAGACAAAACACAGAGACAGCTCACACTTTTGAGCTCCTGTATGAGGCAAGAAAAAGACCCCTCAAGCACCCAAATTCTTCATCTCTGTTGGGTAAGTCACACCAGGGACCGGAGTGTTTCATCCTCAGCAGCTCAAAAAACACTGGAATTCCATGCAGTGCTGAGAGAACCCCAAAACCAAGGAGATGGGGGTAAAAGGAGGAAAATAAACCCCCAAACGTGATCAGCGCTGCTCTGATACCGAAAAATGTCGGAATGATTAACTGCTCAGAGACATTTCCATCTACAAGCAGCAAGGCATTTGTTTATTCAACACTGTCCAGAGCCAGCTCTGGACAGAGTTGTTCGAAGGCATCAAGGCAAACCAAGGTAATTTATGCAGTCTACACTCGTGATTACAACACCTCAATATACATATTCATGTGGTTACATCTAATTATACATATTAACAATGGGCGGGCTCTGGGCGGTGCTTTCCAGATTCTTCTCCTGGCAGGGGGTTCTGGTGGTCCTTCCGCCCTTCAGCCTTAACTCAGGGGTCTGGTTCTCCTCTTCCTCGCTTTGACCCTCTTACCTCTCCATTGTTACTGTCCTAACTACTGAGGCTTGCAAAACCCCTTGGCTCCAAGCCCTTTTCTCCTATTTAAATGTCCACCTTGTCTTAATTTACGACCTTGAGGCTGATTGTATTTCTAGCAATTCTTCTTATGGTTAGGTTTAGGTCCAGTAAGCAGAACAGAACGAGTTATCAATGTTTTTGCAATGTTTCCTTGGCAGCACAGGCAGAGCAGGTCCAGGGCAATTCTCTGAACAGAGCAAGATACCCCAGTTAACTCTTTTAGGCCTTGCTCTTGTTTCAGTCCTGGAGGGTTTAGTGGGACCAGCTTTGGAAGAACTCTAACAACAAGGGGGAATGGCTTCCCACGGCCAGAGGGCAGGGCTAGATGGGATATTGGGAAGGAATTCTTCCCTGTGAGGGTGGGCAGGCCCTGGCACAGGTTGCCCAGAGAAGCTGTGGCTGCCCCTGGATCCCTGGAAGCATCCCAGGCCAGGTTGGACGGGGCTTGGAGCAACCTGGGCTGGTGGAAGGTGTCCCTGCCCATGGCAGGGGTGGCACTGGATGGGCTTTAAGGTCCCTTCCCGCCCAACCCATTCCAGGATTCCATCCTGACCATTACTCCCCCAGCATCCCCTCAGCCCTCACACAAGCCCCCCCAGCCCCCTGCCCTCCCTCGCGGCCCCAACTCCCCCCAGACCCCCTCGGCTCCCCCTCCCTCCTCACCCCGAGCCCCTCACAGACCCCTCACCCGCCTCCTCCCAACGG